ATGTTTTATTTCAACCTAAAGATTATTTTGTTATTTTATATTCTCAATTAATTCTGCATCTTATTGTTTTATGCTTTAAACTGAATCACCACTTTTTTTTTTAATTCCCCATTCATTACTGTAATATTGCTATGGATATTTGGACAGAGCTCAATGTTGCAAATGTAGAAAATAAATGTATTAACAAGAATGACTTTATAGCATATGAGACGTGTTTGACAAGAGTTCAATTATAATATCATCAGAAATACATTTGTTAGTATGCTTAAAACATACTCATATACCAGACATGAGGTGACCTCTGGCTTCTTACTACTTTTATAATAGTAGTTGTGCATTCCTGGCTATATTCAAAGCTAACCATATCAGTGTTCCTATTCTCCTCCATTACAACATAGGCCGGTTTAAAGTATTAGGTTGAAATACTTTATGGATAATTTTTGCACAATTCTAGTCTGGTAGATGTTCACCTACATGTACATGGCATTGTAAGTTCTGTGGTGACATCTTCAGCTGTTAGCTCATTGTTCCTGATACTGAAGCCATGTCCCATTTCACCAAGTATAAGCTTTATCACACCTACTGCAGCATATCAGCACACAGCACTGTTTGAAATATTTGTGGGTGGCTTCACACCAAGCCTTCTATCTTTTCCCCAGACAAATTGGTACAATGGTCATCTCAGAGATGTTACATTCTGGTATTATGAGGAATTTAGGTATTGTGTAAGAGTCTGTTCCTGAAAGGGGGTAACGAGGTCACACGTGTCAGATGAATCTTCAGTCCATGTCTGATATCTTGTGTTTCGTAATCTTGCTGACACATGCCTTTTTTAATGACCCACATACTCAAAATGCATTATTCATTCTCAACTGTATCTTGGTGTTAACAAAATAAATGGACAGATCATCTGCTTCAGAACCAAACAAAATTATTTCCATTAAATTTGCGAATTTCTGTAATAGCGTGCAGGTGTGTAACTAAGTGGAAGCAATAGCAGAGGGTGAGGTGTGTATATATACATACAAGATATTATATGAAATCACAAGAAAAATAAATGATATCATAACTGTGCTGAAACACTCAATCTTCATGCAAAATCATGTGTTCTTGCCAGATAACAGCTCTTTACTATTTCTTTTTTTTAACCTTAAAATGACAGCATAAAGTTCTCTTTCTTCTAATAGGTTTTTATAATTTTTCTTATTATACTATCCCAATCTTTTTCTTTACATACGTATTTGCAGTTTGCAATGGATACAATCTGTTTTCACACATGCACAAAAGAATACTTTATCTACTATACATACTATAAAGTTAGCAAACAGACCAATTGTATCAAAAAAGTCTTATGCCTCCTAACAAAATAGGGGTATTCTGACACTTTTGAAGACAAAAATATAGTAATTACCTAATATTTTGAGGGAAACTCAATATCATATATTTTGGTGTCACCCTAAAGTTCAACTCATCATTTTCATATTAATGAAGTCTAGAAGACAGAAATTAGTACTTTTAAAAATAATAATAATAATAATAAAAAAACTATATATTCATTCTAAAAAAATATTATCCACATGTGAAAATATTCCAAAGAATATGTTATTCCCCTTATATCAGAGTATAACCTCCAAGCCAACTTAACAGCAGACTTCTCTTGTGTAGGATAACCAGAAAGAATTCAGTAAGAATTTCTTCAGGATCAAAGTCAACATCCAAACAAGTGAGCATGGTTCATAAAAGCAAACAGGTGACCCAAATATTTAGTATTTACAGTAGACTTCTTAACCCATATATGCCATTACTAACTCATGATTCTTCCTATTTCTTTGAATATCTATCACTGTGTTGAGATAGTAATGCTTGGGCTGTGGGAGAGGGTATAAGGCAATTGTAGGGGGGTTTAGAGGGAGAGGGCAATTGTGTGGGGGTGAAGGGGAGCAGGCTAGGGCAAAGGGTGGGAGAGGGAAGGCAGTACGAGGTGTCATGTAATTAGCCAATCAGGGTCACATGAATTGACTGGACAATGTGGAATGACTAGATTGGGCATTAGTTACCATTGATCGTCCAGGTATTCTCCTGTATGTGTTCTCTATGGTTTGCTAAAAATCATCATCCTTGAGCCATCCCTGCTTCTTGGAAAGAAATCCAGTTGAAAAAATGCCAGAACCTACCTCACTGATCTGACCAGGGAGTCAAGGTCTACTGTCTGAACAAAATGATACACCTGCCAATACCCACCTCCTCCTTCTCCTCATACAAAGGTATGGGAGGACATGATTAAGGAGGAGCTGCAGGTCTATATCAGGTTTTACCTAATGATGGGCTTGTAGTCTCACCCTCATATGCAATGCTATTGGTTAACTAACAGTCTGTCCACTTCCAGCAACCTGTAATGCAACTGCAACAGTTCAGCATTAAAATAGGTAAATTGTGTGCAAGTGAGGGTGCAGCTGCAGGCTAGGCTTGCTTATTCAAGGTAATCAGCTACCTGATGGCC